ATTGCCTATTTGAAATTCACAGTTCTGGGAAAATGAAACCTGAGCTGTAATATCTGTATCAAAGCTTCATCTCAGAATCCATAAATAATTCATGGGAGGTATCAATTTATTCAGCACATAGGTGGCCAAGAAGGAGTTCTGGGTGTTTACCAATAACATGGCCTTGGAAAACCTATCTAATTGAAACAATTCTTTTTCTTGGCAGGAATAACTTGTGCTAAGGTTGTATCCATACCCTTATGAACACTGCCACTGGTTTTGCATAGCTAATGTGAGCACGGAAATGGGTATTTTGGGGAGGCAAGTGTGAACATATATCAGGCTTTCCCCAAGGGGGCACACATGTGCTTGAAATGTGTAGGTCATTTGATCATTGAATTCATTTGGGGGTATGAAGGTATTACTTAAGTATCCCCATAGTAGTCTTAATTCATACCAATTCTTTTCTTAAACATAGAAGCTGTGGTTGCAAACAGTTTCACATCATACCAATGATACTGGCACCAGTTTTTAACAAAAGGCTCATAAATTTTGTTTTATGATACTGTAAACTTGACCAGACAGTCTTTTGGAACACATATTGCATACTAACTACACACAGAAGAATACAGAATGTATTCCATTTAAACAGCAAAGATAAAGACAAGCAGGAATAGTCCTGATGGATGAGTGGTGGTGGGGGATAATAGAGGGTGGGGGGGGATGTGGAAGACTAAAAGTATTTTCTTTTTTTGCTATTTCATGTGTTCCAGAGGTCATATCATGTTGATACAGCATATTTTCTGTTTTCCTGATTAGAAAGAATGTATCTTTGAAAGCACATTCAGCTGATAGTTAATTTATCTAGATGATCAATTTGGGCCCAATAAGGACTTAAAATTATCATTTAGGATTTACACTGTAGAGTAAGTTGACCCTCCACAGTGACTCATGTATGAAAAAGAAGGCATGATTGATATGAAGATCGGTCAGAGGCAGCTGGACAGAACTTAAGATGTGTGTTCTTCCTAGGGCCTAATGAGGCCCTATGACTGTTTCAGCCCTGTTTTGATCACAATGGATGTCAGGAACTAACCTGGTTTATTGTACCTTAGATTCGGCACTGGAACTCGTACAATCCTCTTCTATCCATGCATTTACTGAAAATGACACAAGAACCCTCAGTTGCCATCTCCAGCTATTAAGATGAGAAGATCTATTGGAAATTGGTCAACCTTTTATATCACATGGAGATTTTCAGATATACATGTAATATAACATATTCATTTTATTTTAATACTCTAAAATGTTTCTTTTTAATTTTAATTTTATTGTCAAGGAGATGCACAGAGGGGCTGCAGCGACATAAATAAGGTAGTGAGTACATTTCTTGTCAAACTTATTACCCCAGACCCTCTCGTTTTTCTCCCACTCCCCCTCCAACCTCCCCAAGTTGTACAGATCATTTCCAACATATTGTTTTGTGAGTATTGCTGTTGCATTGGTTCCTCCTTTGTCCTCTGTCTCACTATTTTTTTGTTCCCCTCTCTAATTCAGATAAATGTATATATAATACCCAGGGTACCAAAATCAAATACAGTGACAACAGAGGATAAACCATAGGGGGAACAAAACCACAAAAGAAAAAAAGAAATCCCATAGTACATTAAAATGAACATCACAGAAAACCTCTTATGTACATGTCTTAGAGTTCATTTCACTTGGCATCATCTTATATGACCACATGTACATAGCACTTGAGCCGTTCTCTCATCTGCTAAGATCATCCTAGATGTATACTATTTATTATAAATAGGGGAAACCATGGGAGCTGTTTCTTTGATAAGAGACCTCCCATCCAAGAAAAGCCCAGGACCAGATGGATTTACAAATGAATTCTATAAGCAGAGCTCACACCAATATTCCTCCAACTCTTCAATGAAATTGAAAGTGAAAGCTCACTACCAAATTCATTCTATGAAACCAGCACAACTCTCATCCCCCAAACACTAAGGGATTTTTCAAAGAAAGAGAACTATTGATCCATTTCTTTGTTGAACATCGATGCAAACTTCTCAACAAAGTTCTGGCCAATTGACTTCAACAATTCATTAAAAAAATCATACACTATGATCAAACAGGATCCATTCCATGGATGCAAACCTGGTTCAATATACACAAGTCAATTAATGCAATTAATTACATCAACAGGAACAAGAATAAGAATCACATGCTCATCTCAATAGATGAAGAAAACACATTTGACAAGATCCAACACCTCTTTATGATGAAAGCTCTGGGGAAACTAGAAACCATGGAACAATATTATAAAAGCTGTGTATGATAAAACATTTTCTGTACATCAAATTCATGATTTATATTTTATTTCATTTTTATATTTTTGAAATTATCTTCAAATTTTTAAAAATGTCAGTGTATGGACCAAATAAAAACTAGAGAGTTTAAAGAGAATGAAAATGTCAATATTGATGTTCTGCTCATACAAATATGAATTCAAATGAGATTTCAGCATGTAGGTTTGTACAGATTGTGCCATAAAAGTGAAAGTAGAAATACAAGTGAACAAAGTATCTAAATAGATCATATTCCATCACTGTTTATCTAAAGTAAAATCTGCATCAAATTAATCCATTTCACCAACCAATCATAATGTAGGAAAATGTACAATATAACTAAGTTAGTGACTTTATGTTTATGAAGCCATGTTACTTCTAGATGACCAGTAATCAGTTGTAATTACTTTTACCTTTCCCCCTCTCTGTCTCTATCCATATATATATATATATATATATATATGCATATACATAAAATGTATATTTAATGGATACATACACATTTTATGGATTTCCTAGGAATGTAAATTACATTTTCTTGCAACAAAAGTATATAACTTTTATTTTCTATGATGAAAAGAATAATATGATGCTACACATAAATCATTTAAGGAAATCAAATGTCTACTCATAATCTAATCTCAAGTGCAATAGCATTCCAGGATATATTGCATAGAATTGTAAGAAAGACATGAAAACCAAGGAAACATTTCTGTGAAGAGCATTACAGACTGAAGGCAAAATACCAGTTAGTATAAATCAAAATAAAAACTTATGCAACCTAAACAATACCATCTTGTAGGAATTCCTCATACTAATTCTCAAAATGTAACTATTTTGTTCTTGCTCTTATTTAGGTTTAAAAAATTGTGTTCCTTTGTATTGCAAATAGACTTTCCAAACTTTACTCTCAATAAGTGATCATAATTAGTATTCTATTGCATGACAAATGTGTTTAGGCATAGTCATTTGGCATTTAAGAGAGCCATAAAATGAATTCTTTTTTTTCCATTGAACATGAAGAAAACAAGTGAAACACCCTTTCAGGAGGACTGCATTGGCTGTGTTGGTTAGAAAACTGAGTTCTGCAGTCCCTACACCAAGTAAATGAATCATAAAAGAAATATGGAAGTTGATAATAGCAGTTATGACAGCAATAAAAACATGATAAAAGGCTCTTTGACAGTATGAAACCTTGGAAGCCTTGCCAAATATCAAATCTAGATTATAGGCACTCAGAGAATCCAGTTGTCTTTAGTTGGTCTTCAGGGGGTTTCTGACAACTTCTGCTTCATTCTCTTAAGCTGAAATGATCTATCAAAATGCCTTCGCTTCCAGCAGCAATTGAATGCACTGCTACTTTACCAGACATTAAAAATAAAAAGAAGCTGCAGTAGCATTTTCAGAGCATTTATTTATTAAGCCAAACAAAATGGTGGAACCTGGGACAGTATCATCTTGTACTTGGATACATGGTTTTGGAGTTACCAGTTCATAGGAACTTACTCATTAATATTGGTTTATTTTAAGTAAAATAGTCCTATCTGTTGAATTCTATTACTTTCTTTTACTTTTCTTTATTTGAACATTTGTTCAAATAAGACTTTAACACTACATTTAATAAGATCTAGGTTCTTGATTTTATTACTATAAGACATCACCTTCCTTCTCCCATTTCAAATCTTTAAAGCTTTGAAAAGTCTCATTGGTAATACAATGTTGGATCCATTTCTATATTTTCTTCTAGAATCTTTAAGTTCAATTGAACTACAAGAGGAAATTTCAGACGCAGAATGACATTTATTGGAATAGTTTCTAGTAATTTCTTCCAACATTTTGAAGTGGTAATCACTGTTCTGTAGAGAAGATACCTAGGTATATGGGCAAGTATCATGAGAAACAATGAATGCCCCAAACATAATCCTAACAAGAAGAAATGCTGAGCCTTGCTCCAGCATGTCTCTTCAGGAGCTGCTGCCTACTGAGAAGAAGCACACCATGCCCAGTACACCATACAACACACACACACACACACACTCTCTCTCTCTCTCTCTCTCTTTCTCTCTACATACACATGTAGTCTCAGAAGTGATGATAGGTAATGTTTGTACAGTTATTCTTAACTTTTAATACTCCAGATTTCTAAATTGTTTTCTTTAGTTTAGATTGGATAATGATCAATTCTTACCAAAAAACACTTCCTGTAACTTTCATACCTAAAAATATTCATAAATGCTTACTCCCCATTTTCCCCTCAAATTATATACTTGCTAAACATGGACAATACTTGTGCGCGCACACACACACACACACACACACACACATCAATGTTCCCCAGTGTAAAATAATATGGTGATTTTTTTCAGTTAATAAGTAATTTAGACTATCATTAGAATTTCAGGCCTAATCTTAAAATAAAAAATCTAGAAATTTATAACTACACTATGCTGATTCATCATTTTAGATTGTTGCATTCATCTGAACAGACATGTTAGAGAATACCACAGTTGAAGGGTTGACATAGTTAAACTTGTATCATGACTCTCCCATGCTGGAATCCACATGATAGTATCCATGTCAAGAGTTGTGTTTTATATGTTTGCATTCCTTTGAAAAAAGAAAGATAAAAGATACTCTCTGAAGACCAAGTTATTAGTGAGATATTTATTAAAAATACCATTACAACTGTTTCTAAAGTCTACTATGATGTCAATGGTGAGGTAAATGCTAGACCAACCTCAGTCAAATTATTGCTTCTGTCAGGAAAACACTAATCTACAATAAGTGAAGACTGAAAGTTAGAAAGTTATTTATAATTTCCAAGACATGAAAACATGATGGAGAAACTGCAGAAACTGGTAATATTTTATATCATTTAAATACATCTCTGTAAACCTAAAAATGATGCTTCCATATGGGTGCAGAAAAACCTTTCATTTTGAAGCTGATTCTGTCTGTACCATTCTTGAAAAGAATGTTTCCATCTGTAAAATGTATGTTTATTATTTATACCAAGTGATATTTGCATTTAAATATAATTTAAGACAATTAAAATGTGTTTATATTCATATAAAAATATATATAAAAATAGAGTATTTAAAGAAGGTGGATATTCATTCTAAAGTACCAACCAATCAAAATAGTCTTATTTTTGTATGGCAACAAGATTGAGGTATTTGTGCATTTAGTAATTTCAGCCATACATCGAATTATGCCTCTCAGACACTTTTCCCCTAAAGAAAAGTAATCCTTTAAAAGTAACTATAGCAGTGAAATGTTATCTCATAGCTAAACATTTGCATAATAAGGACTCTTACCATTCTAATCCTAAAAGGATAGAATTCAATACTGCAATTAGGCATGTTTTATAGTTATGTCATAATTTTATGCCTACTCTAAATTTGTACTAGATACAATTTCTCAAGAAAATAAAAATACAGCTACTAGTAACATTTTACTCTTTCAAGATATAAAAAATGCTTTATGCTTATGCATTTGTGAATCTGTAGTCCTGTGGAAAATAGTTACATTAAAATGGATGTGTAATCTTAAATTATATGGGTGCAGGATGGAAAAACAAAGATTATCCTAAATAAGGCCATCAAGGAAATATGGTAAAGTAATATATGAGGAATTATGCTCTGTTCCTCACTGTAAATGATGTATTTCTTCCATTTAGACTGCAGTTTCCCACCTAAGTTCATAGACAGGACAGGGGGAAATGTTTATGAGAAACATAAGGAGCACAGAGTTAAATATACTGATGTTTTAACTATAAAACATCCCACTTCTTCTCTCTCTCAGAATCTTCTCAAATTCCCTTGTGGAGCATCACTTTTGCTCTTTTCCTTTCAGTCATACAATTTTAAAAGGAAAAGAAGAAATGTTTTTCATAAGCATCATGTCCACAAAAGACTAAACGATCAAAAATGTCACATTTCCCCCCATAAAGAACAGAAATGTAATCCCTACTTGCAAGTGGAATATATGTACTCCTTCATCCTTTTAATATTAATGCGTCCATGGCATTACTGAACAACACAGCCCTCCCTCTTTGTCCTGGAACTCAAGTGTTAGTGTATGATAATGTAATAGGTGGCCCATAGTGGTCCTAGATTATGATATTTCAAGTAATCCCTTTTTAGCTCTGCCTTTCACTCCAAAACAAGTGGATGTTCAAATTCATATCTTAACTTTTTAAAGCTTTATGTAAAGTGCTATTGCTCATTTGTACCTAAGTGTATATTGGGGTGTGTGCTTGTATCCCTGTGCATGAGCATGTGGTCAATCCAAAATCCATGTGAGGCACATTGTCTTGTTCCCAGATCTTTGTTTAAGAGCAACACCAACTCCAAATTCAATTCTCCTTCATGGAGTCTCCATAGTCCTTTTACTTGTACACATCCTGCTGAGAAGGATTTCAGAGCAAACCTGATTTATTGGACCTCTGACATGATAAGATGACTGAAAATTTGTCACTGAGTCTTGCTGTTGCCGTAGTTTGCTTTGATTGCTGAAATATTTTCCCACAATATGATTCTTCGATATTTTCATTTTAATAAACTGATATTCTTTGGATAATTTTGATTTCACCACCTGTAAGAAAACCCCAAGAAAATGGTGAGATAAATCAAGTACCAATAGGATACCAATCCTAAATATGGTGATATTAACTAACTTTCCAAGCTGTGTTTTTACTATTAAAATGGCACTCAATGGGTACATATGTGACATACATAACCAAGAATCAGGGTAACATATGTTTCAAAAAAGATCAAGGTTGAAGTTACAGCTCTTGTCAGTTTTCATACTTTGGGACAGCAACTAAGGCCACTATTTGAGATGCTGTTTCTATCGTGTGTGTGTGTGTGTGTGTGTGTGTGTGTGTGTGTGTGTGTGTGTGTTAGAGGTACTCTAAATTTATCTTCCCATGTTTCCAAAAGGAAGTAACTATAACTACATGGTAAATGAGAAGGTGACAATGCTGCAGTTTATGCTTTTATGCTTTTATGTTTTTATGCTTTTATTTCTCTGGAACTTAGTACACTATGGAATCTGAGAAACTCCCTATATTTTATTAAGCTAATGACTTTGTATATACATACACACATATATGCTTTTTGAATAGATGATATTATAAAGCATTTATAATCTAAAGTTTTATTCCTTTCTCTGTTTCACATAGCAACTCAATATATATAGAAAAGAAAATACTGGTAAAGATGGTTTGATAAAATATGAGTTCTCTTATTTTAATGCAGTTGTGAAACATTTCTTCCTGTCAAACATTTGGATGCAATGAACTATTTATTATTGATGACTAAAGAAAATAATGCTGGATAACATAGTCTTTTGTATTATCCTTTGAAGTGCTCTCTTTCTCTCTCTCTCTGCCATACTGAGATTTAAACTCAAGGCCTTGTGCTTGTCTAACTCTGAGACTTTAACCATAGCCTCAGACCTTTTAGTTTTATTGTTTTTAGGTAGGATCTATGCTTTTTTAGTTACATTGCAAGTAATTTAGAGGAGTAATTTGAATGAAAAAAATCTGTAAATATCTATAACAAAATGTTAACACTCATGGTCTATTGGAGGATGAAATTCAAGCAATTTTAAATATATTCTGACTTTTTGTCCAAATCTTTTCTATTACACAGTGAATGTGTATTACTTGAAAGTCATAAAAAGCCAAAGCTATTAAATTTTGAGGAAAAAGTTTAGTACATATATATTTAAGAAATGATTACACCTTGCTAATTCCAAAGACACAAATTGCTTTCCTATGGTGCTGGGAAGTTTGCTTTTTTCTGGAGCCAATGACTCTTAAGAAGGGAAGTGACATTAGGAAGTTGTTGCAAAGAATCCCCATGGATAGTAATTTAGGGCTCAGTTTGCAGTTAACCACCGATTACTATTCCAGATCCCAAGGGTTCTCTGTTATGTGCGGTTCTTGATGTTCCTATCTAGTTGTATTGTAAGTATGAATGTCCTAGGCTGGAATGGGCATCATTGTTTGCTTGAAGGCTTTTTTCCTTTGTGTAGGAACTCTGTACTTAACTCAAGATTAGCAAACAATCTTCCAGAATTTATTTAAGGAAACTCTTAAGCGTAACTATAACATTCAACCTTGAAATAATATTATTTCAGTGCTTGGAAAGCTGGAAAATAATCCTGTTTTGTTTATATAATTTTATCTTAATTTGTGGGTTTTGCAATTGCATGCTAATTACATGCAAAAGAGAAGAGGTACATCACAATGCAAGAGTTTATATTCATTTAAACATTTTAATGATTTATGATTTTAGGGTTGCCTTAAAATTATGTTGGATAAGGTTAGTGTCATAACTATAGCAATCTTAATACATACATTATAAACTACAGCCACTTACATAAAGCTTACATAAATTAATAAATGGGATAAGAAGAAATATGCATCTCCAAGTGCTTTTATTGAGATCAATAGCTTTCACTCCAAAGTAGTTTAAATATTTAACCAAGTATCAATGATGTTGATAATTTACTTCCACTTGTAGGTTTGATTCCTGTGACAGGATAATAGGATTGCTTCTCATTTTCTGCAGTCTAAGCTACTGCTTCCAAATCTGTTAATGCTCCTCTTACATGGTTTCAACTGGACTCTGTACAGCCTGTTGGTAAATGGCCCAACAGTTTGGTTTTCTTTGAAAACTATTTTTTTCAGGTTATAATTGAAGATAATCTTTCCTCATTTGTTAAGTCACTATTGCTTTGATACTAGATCTTATAAACTGACCCAAATCTATAGAGAATTATTTGAGTTTTCATTTATCAAAATACAGATGCTAATAATTCTTCCAAAATGTCAGTGTGAATTAAATCCAGGAACATTAAAAAATCCAACACTATTCTATGCCATACCATTAGCATATACAATTTATTTCAAGAATATAAAATGGTTCAATATAATAAAGTACTTCATCAATAGGGATCTATCAAAGCATTGTGTGGACCTATATGATTGCTCTCTCTGAAAACCCAGATGAACCCATTGAAAAACATTTATTATAAAGTTAACATTTAAAAATGATAAAGATTTTTCTCTATTCTGTCAATAATTAATAAGACATATGTTAAAAGTTGACATTACCAACTAAACAACTAAATTTTTCAATGGTCTAGGCAATGCAGGTAAATAATGCATTGAAAGTTTTAATGAGATACAAGCAGATGGAAATCCATAGCAAGTCAAAGCTTCCCAAATTGATTACTGTGTTATTCTAAGGATAAACACATGAAGATTTGTGGGGAACATGATAACAACTTCTTAAACACATGTCAAAGAAAAAAATGTAGCAAAATAATCAGCTCTATTTAAGAAGATACATAATTTATGAGGGAGACTTTCATGGTCAACACTGCATGCATCATTGTGACTTGCATCTACCGTCACGACTTATCATGATTCAAATCTACCATCAATTTCTTAGAGCAGTATTGGTTTTCCCAAACTCTGTGATTCCAACTGGATCTTTTGTGTCTCAGTACTTCCTTTGGAAACCTCTTATGGTTTCTATAGTCACCATCATCAGTGAAGTTACTCACACAATGGAAATCTTACTTTGCCAGAAGATTTGCTTGTTTCTTCATTTTCCCACAACCTCTCCAGTGGGTGGAGGTGTGGAGTAGGGGCTACAGAGGTTTAGCAGCATAGTTGGTTGCATTATTGTTTGTTTCATCTGGTTCTGATAGAGGGGCAGACAGTTGAGGTTGAACCCAGGGGTCTCACACATGTTAATTATAAACTCAGCCAATGAGCTACACCCTAGCCAAGGTTTATGATTTCTAAATCCCCAGCAGTGCTTTGATTTTCTCTGAATTCTGTATTGCCAACTCTGGAATGCCATTCCTTCATTCCAGCTCCTGCTTCTGCTCTTTGCAGACTCATGTCACCCAAGGATAGTTTCTCCTGAGATCTCTCTCATGTCGATATTTACTAATACCCTGGAAACAGTTCTAATCCTGTTATCCTAGTTATGAACAGAAGTTCTGTTGATCAAAAGTTCAGGTTTGATCAGCTACTCATTTTGGAATCATTTAGTCTCCCAGGGACAGGAAAAAGAACAAGGATGGAAGAATAGTGTATGTTCTCATGGAAGGTGCCAAGTTTTGGATGAGAGATACACTGTCATACATGCCTCTGTAATGCTCAGACAGTCAAGCATTCCTTCTGGGCTCCTTTAGTTAAGAGGACTGAGCTGCCTCCCAAGATGGAATCTAGGCTATATCTGCTACTCAACTTCAGATATATTTCATTATACCTCACATCCAAAAGGTGAGGTTACCTGAGTTCCATGGCCAGCCAAGCATCTGCAACTAAATGCTGAAAGAAATATCCCACCTAACAGTATTCATTGTTGCCCAGATTTTGAAAAGCTCATATTGAAAATGCCCAAACACAGCAGTCGCCAGTAGCTTATGCCTGTAATGTTAACTACCCAGGAAGCTGAGATCTGAGGATCACGGTTTGAAGCCAGCCTGGGAAAGAAAGTTCCTGAGATTCTTACCTTCAATTACTCACAGAAAAAACTGGAAGTGGTACTGTGGTTCAAGTGGTACTGTGGTTCAAGTGGTAGCCTTGAGCAAAAAGGAGCTCAGGAGCAACGCCTAGTTCAGTATTAAAGAAAGAGAGAAAGGAAGGAAGGAAGGAAAAAAGGAAGGAAGGAAGGGAAGAAGGAAGGGAAGGAGGAGAGAGAGAGAGAAAGAGAGAGAGAGAGGGAGGGAGAGCAAGCGAGCGAGCGAGTGAGCGAGTGAGAGAGAGAGAGAGAAAACTCACAAAGGGACAGAGCAAGGCTGCACATAGAATGGCACAGATTTGGAGCCCTGAGAGGATTTGCCTGGCAAATGGTTAGTACTGGGGCTGGATGCAGTATCTATGCTTTTGGAGACAACAGGGAATCAGAGGTGGCTGTGTGAGCAGGTGTGGGCACAGTCATGGCCGATGGGTAGTGTATACAGTAGGGAAAGTATTTGTGTTTTAGTTTATTGTCAGAGGTCATAGATCTGAATGAATAACATTTGTCAGAAAATCTGGTATACATTACATGCTCAATAAATTTTTTGTAAAAACTGTCAAGTATATTTTGCCTTGCATTATTGCATTATGGCTAGATAAATATTGCAAATTTATTTGTGGAAAGTAACCTTAAACAACATGCTCTCTAGAAAGTGATGGAATATAAGTAGAATTCAGTTGGAAAGAACAGGACTACAGATTAAAATGCACTTCACAACTTGCTACTGTTACCTGAAACATTTACAGAAATGGTAGCTCTAAATAGAGATAAATGTCACATAAATCCAATGGTCATAAATGTACCCATCCTTATATTTTTGATTTCATGACATTACAGTTGAGAACATTGTTTAAAATGAGTATGCATCAAACTGTTGATAGACTCTAACCATCAAAGGAAAAATTATTTTTATTGTACATACTTACATTTAAATAGTTATAATAGACCAAAGTTTTGTAGTCCTTTTGAAATGGAAAATCAAAAGAGAAAAAAATAAAGTTGTTTCTTACAAGACAAATATTTGATAATTTTTTCCCCTCATAT